TAGGAGGAAAAGTGAATTTATACAATGCATATTTGTTAAATGTAAACAATGTTTCTAAATCCCAGGCTCTGAAGATGATCTCAATAAAGATCGAAACGTTGGCACGATAAAGAAAATGTTTTTCTGGAACCTACATCACACCAGACCGCATCTCACGATTTCTGAATAATTATCGATTAACGGTCCAACCACCACACATTTTAATTAATTCAATCAAAATAAAATTATTCTAAAGCATCCAGTCGGAAATTATTATTACACACACATATATATATATATATATATATATATATATATATATATATATGTAGATATTGAAATACTTTTTTTTTCTTTGCAAGGTTAATATTTGACTCTGGCATGCAATTCCACAGGATTTGGAAAATTATTTGGTCCTTTTTTGTAGTAAGAAATGCTTTTACAGTTTAAATTAGTTACAAAACAGTTCAAAGGAAACGTAATTAACTACTTTTATTGTTCGCCTGAAAATGTCCAGTTTGTAAGGATAAGAAAACGTCCAGATGTTGATAGAGTTTAATATCCAGAGGGGCTTAGAAACCCTGCAGGTGGGTCGCAAAGTCCCAGAGGAATACGGACGTAATACGGGCAAGTGAAAACGTTGGGTCGGGGACCCTCATGTATTCCTGGGGCCAGACTAACTTTTTCATTAGTCATGAGGACCGTATAAGATGCATACCCAGGGGGCCCGCATTTCTCTCTTTCTACCTTTTGCAGCAATAATCAAAGGGCCGCTTTCAACGGGAACTGGACGGAACGTAAATTTCTATAGGCTTAACACACAACGAGTAGCTAATTTGGACCGACTATGCAATCTAACTAAGAACTCTGTACACGGTGGTCAGTGGTTTCATTGAATCGTCTAAATGAGACCCGTTAATGTCGCTTTAGTAAACACAATGAGAATACATAAACATACGACAAATTCTCTCTCACTAACTCTATATATTTCTTTCTTTATCCAACTCTTTCTCCTTAAAAATAAAAAAAAAGACCTAGGCCCGTCGATTTGCATTTTTGGATTTTTAATTCTCTGCCTAAAAAATATACTTTGTTGTTTTTTTTGTGTGACAAAGCCGTACTTTAGTTCTCTGTGCGGGGTGTTTTGGGTGTAACAAGGAAAACACGAGGCCCACCTGTAATGGTAAAGAATATTGGAATCGGTGGAATAATGTTTGCACAAAGCAATCAATTTGCAACCTCCAGATGCGTGTTTACACTGGCGCGGTGGGCCGAATCCTCTTTCGGGTAAAATCAGTATTTTCGAAACAAAAAAAATTTCCTTTACGCATATATAATAATGTAGAGTTTGAAAATGAACTAGCCTCTTAGTAGTTTTATAGCCGAGTCTTTTAATACCAAATCTAATGTAATATTTGATATGTATTCTTATGTTTGTATTTTATTCATGTCTATCTGTACAAAAAAAATATAAATTAAGGAAATAGTACAGCTATATACAGAAAATGGCAAAAAGGAGGGAAAATTCAAAAGGTGGAGTTGAGATGGGAACTTAGTGTCCGAGTGGATCGAGGTCACGATAGCTCAAGTGGGAGAGTAGCGGCTTATCAAGCCGAAGGTCGTGGGTTCGAAACCCGCTCGTGCCATTGACTTTTTTATCACAACCAAAAACCTTAATTAATTGAAAATAATAATTAAGATTGTTATTTAAATAAAAGAAATGAAACTAAAATAATTCACGAACACTCTATATCAAGAAATTGTCTTGAGGAAAAAAGCAAATTCAGTTATAACTGCCAAGGTTTCGACCAATTTTAAGGTCATCATCAGGGCCTATATTAAAAAAACATATTTCTACAATTGATTTAACAATTATTCTTTTTATATAAGGTCTTAGTGTTGTGTCACTGACTTTTTTATCTCAACTAAAAACCTTAATTAATTGTAATATATACAGAACTGTCAGACCAGGAGGAAGTGTGTAGAAAAACCAGCCAGTACTGGAGCTCTTATTTTTTTAAATTGCGGATAGGGGTAAATAAGATAGCCAAAGTAGTTTTAAACTTCGTGGAGGATTATAAGGGTTGAGGAAAGAATTTAAGCCAGATGGGTTAAGGTCGAAGTATAGGTTAGATTCACTAATTTCGTGGTCCGCTTGACCAATTAATACATTAGAATTAATTAAGGTTTTTAGTTGAGATGAAAAAAAGTTAATGGCGCGAGAGGGATTCGAACCCACGACTTTCGGCTTGATACGCCGCTGCTCTACCACCTGAGCTATCGTGACTTCGATCCCCTCGGACATCAACTCCCCATCTCAACCCCACCTTATGAGTTTTCCCTCCTTTTGCCATTTTTCAAATGTCGTGTAATCGGTTTGGATTCTCGACGAAAATTGAAATGGCGACGGAGAGCTTTAGTGAAGTGTACTTCATTTTAATCATTAAATTCACTAAATTCGTGGTCCGCTTGACCAATTAATACATTACAATTATTTAAGGTTTTTAGTTGAGATGAAAAAAAGTTAATGGCGCGAGAGGGATTCGAACCCACGACCTTCGGCTTGATACGCCGCTACTCTACCACCTGAGCTATCGTGACCTCGATCCTCTCGGACATCAACTCCCCATTGAAAAATGGCAAAAGGACGGAAACTCATAAGGTGAGGTTGAGATGGGGAGTTGATGTCCGAGTGGATCGAGGTCACGATAGCTCAGGTGGTAGAGCTGCGGCGTAACTAGCCGAAGTTCGTGGGTTGGAATCCCTCTCGTGCCATTAACTTTTTTTCATCTCAACTAAAAACCTTAATTAATTGTAATGTATAGGTTAGAATGGAAATTGAGGAAGCATGTTTGGATCAGACCCTTTACAGATGGGATTTTAAGGTCTTTAAGGATCATTTGATTGGTGACGTAGAAGGGAGGATTGAGGACGGCAGAGAATTTTAGGTTGGAAGGATTGACATCGTTGGATGTTGGAGGATTTGGCTCCACAGGACCACATACCTCCAAATTGGTCAGATGAGATTTTTTGTACGCGGTAGATAGTTATGCATCCTTAGTGTTTATATTAATCGTACATGTCTGTATGTGCGTTCCAAGTGAGACTGCTATCTGATGATAGGTATGATCTTATTTTTTATACGCACTGATAGGCAGGTTTGACATTTGAGCGTAAACGTAACCGTTTGATTTTTTGCTCAACCTGATCCATCATTCATTAATAAGTTTATGTGGCGAGGCTATGATTTGAGTATGTAGGTAAGATAGAAATGAAGAATGATGGAGTGAGTGCGGTGTTCAATCCTTTTTAAAAAGATAGTTCCTACTTACAGTAAGTTGTTTCGCAACGATCCGGATTTCGAGCTTTTAGCTTATCATCAGTTGAAGGAGTTCTACAACCATGTCTCTCGACATGAATTGCAAAAATGAAACATCCTCTCAAAACCTAAAGACAAAGTAGACAACTTGAAAAAAAGCGGGGTTTACCAACTCAATTGTAATGATTCAGATATTAAATATATAGGACAAAGCGGTAGAGAATTAAAAACGAGAGTTAAAGAACACTTGCCACCTGCGTGTCGTGTCGAGAGTGCCCAAGAATGACACAATTACACAGAAGACAAGCCTTTGAGCCCTGAAGATGATTTCAATAAAGATCGAAACGTTGGCACGATAAAGAAAATGTTTTTCTGAAACCTACATCACTCCAGACCGCATCTCACGATTTCTAAATAAATATCGATTAACGGTCACTAATCACCACACATGTGTCTATAATTTTGTCGCAGACAAAATCGTTTAATTTTAGTATTTTAATCATTTTTTCTCTTATTTACTGAAAAATTAAAGTTTACTGAAGAAAAATATTTATTTCATGTGTTTTGAATAAATATTTGTAGTGCAAACCCATTACATTAAAAAATCATAACAATTAGGGGTGTGTCTATAATTTTGTCACTTGGTTGTATTTTGTTACAAGAATTGCTCACATAAAATGTATTCTTTTCGTTTTTGGTTTTTACACGAATTTATTTTAATGTTATTTTCTTTTTGTGTTATATGCAGATCAAAAACATATATTTAAATTTACTAAAATTCCTAGAAATCCTCAAAAGTGTCAATTATATAAGAAAATTTTTGTAAAATTTATCCTTCATTAATTTAATTTCAAATAGACATTTTATAATTTGACCATATTTTATGAGGCAGGATAATTGATTTAAACTGACCCTGAAAATTTCTAATATTTCTTTAAAGAGTATTTTATCATGTAGTATCTGGCACGAATTATATGACGTAATTAACCTAGTTTTAAATATCTATTTATAATGTTACATTTTAAATTTTGAGTGATTTGAGTATTTTTATAGCCTTTATGAGCTTTTTCAAGCTTTTACTTGCATATATATTTTCAGTTGAGTTAGGTGCCATGCATTTCTAATGCCTCTAATGAGACTTAAGCATAAATTGGTCAGTATTTTTACGCAGCCTAATTTTTCGCTACTTTATTTTTGTTGATCTTTCGTTCACCAGAATAATAAGCTATGAGATTAGGTCTTTTTATTGTCGTATACAGCCAATATACAATTTTTTTATTTTTCTCAAGAAAATGTATCAAGGTTTCTTAATTGTGGCCATTAGTGTAGGGAAAATGAAAAAAAAAGCCTATATCATTCAACCTTTCGTTTAATTTTTGTTTTTTTAAAAACGACCTTTCTCTTGAAATATTATGTTCAAAGCGGAAGGATAAATTTTAAGGATAAGTAAATATCTTTGTACAACGAAGAGATGGATAGAGAGATTTTACCAGTGGTACAAGGTTTACCTTTCTCTAAACAAATTTATATTGCAGGCCACTTAGCAACAAGTTTGTTGAACCTTCTTTTCTTTTACTCCCTTTAACAAAGGAAGGAAATTGTAAAGGTGACCCAGTTTTTTCGACTATTTTTATTGTCATCTCTATTTTTTAACCCGTTTCTTAAACCTTTTTATTAAAAGATTTGTCGCTGTTTGTTTCAGGCAAGTACAAGATAGAAGGGTTGAAAACGCCCGGAGCGACGTGCGATTATCAATTTATAAACACGAACAATTCCTTGACCAAAGGGAGATTCTATTCGCCGCAGTTTCCTTCTAGCTATCCAAAAAACAGCAGCTGTACTTACAGATTCAAAGCGAGGTAAGTTGTCCTACTTCAAAGAGAAAAAAAAAACAGCAACGTAAATGAATTTCGTTGTTTCTTACTATAAAAAATGTTTTAAATATAAATAACATTTGCAAAAATGTTTTTAAAATAATGGATGAAATGTTTTGTGAAATTTAGACATCAAGCCGACATTGAAAAACGGCATATTGTGCTATTTTTCAAATTATTGTAATTACTTCAAGGAATGTTATTTTTTTGTATACCTTCTTTCTTTTGGAACTTTTCTATTTTTGTTACTCTCTAAACAAAAATTTGGATATTAAACTTAATAGCATTAGATTACAATAATCGGTTAATTCAAACAAAAAATTTAACAATTTTAATGGCGCTTTGTCAAATATTTATCAACATTTGATTTTTTGTGAGGAGAACTTATTCTATGAAATAAGCATTAATCATTGATTTGAAAATTGTGAAGTTTACTTGCAAAAAAATAAGTATGATTTCCAAATTAAATAGATTTTCAGAAAAGTAAATTTAATTTGCGAAAGGGTAAATATGATTTGAAAAAGTTGAATTTAATTGCTGTGCATTTCTGAAAAAATGTGAATGTAATTAGCACAATAATCAATTAGATTTACAAAAGGGTGAATTTGATTTGTAAAATAACAAATTTACATTCAAAAGAGTGAATTCAATTTGCATAGAAGTGAATTTGATTTGCAGAAAAATAAATTTAATTTGCGAAAGGGTGAATTTGATTTGTAACAGAATGAATTTACATCGGAAAAGAGTGATTTTAATTTAGAAAAAGGTGAAATTGATTTGTAAATGACTGAATTTACATTGCAGAAGGGTGAAATAATTTGAAAAAGATTAATTCAATTTGCGAAGGATGTATTTGATTAGCAAAAGAATAAATTTACATAGCAAAAGAGTGCATTTCTGCAAAAGAGTGATTGTAATTAGCACAATAATCAATTTAATTTACAAAAGGGTGAATTTGATCTGTAAAATAACAAATTTACATTCAAAAGAGTGAATTCAATTTGCATAGAAGTGAATTTGATTTGCAGAAAAATAAATTTAATTTGCGAAAGTATGAATTTGATTTGGAACAGAATGAAATTACATTGGAAAAGAGTGATTTTAATTTAGAAAAAGGTGAAATTGATTTGTAAATGACTGAATTTACATTGCAAAAGGGTGAATATGATTTCAAAAAGTTGAATTTAATTTGCGAAGGATGTATTTGATTAGCAAAAGAATAAATTTACATAGCAAAAGAGTGCATTTCTGCAAAGGGTGAATGTAATAAGCACAATAATCAATCTAATTTACAAAAGAGTGAATTCAATTTGCCATGAAGTGAATTTGATTAGCAGAAAAAAAATTTATTTTGTAACAGAATGAACTTACATTAGAAAAAAGTGATTTTAATTTAGATGAAGGTGACATTGATTTGTATTGTATATGATTGAATTTACATTGGAAAAGAGTTATTTTAATTTTCAAAAAAGGGGACATTTATATGTAAATGATTGAAATTACATTGCAAAAGGTTGAATATGATTTGAAAAAATTTAATTTAATTTGCGATGGATGTGTTTTATTAGCAAAAAATTGAATATACATAGCAAAAGAGTGAGTTTCTGCAAAAGGGTGAATGAAATAAGCACAATAATCAATTTAATTTAAAAAGGGGTGATTTTGATTTGGAAAGTAACAAATTTACATTCAAAAGAGTGAATTCAATTTGCAAAGAAGTGGATTTGATTTGCAGAAAAATAAATTTAATTTTCAAAAAGGTGAATTTGATTTGTAACAGAATGAATTTACATTGGAAAAGATTGATTTTAATTTAGAAAAAGGGAAATTGATTTGTAAATGACTGAATTTACATTGCAAAAGAGTGAAATAATTTGAAAAAGTTGAATTTTATTTGCGAAGGATGTATTTGATTGGCAAAAGAATGAATTTACACAGCAAAGGAATGCATTTCTGCAAAAAAGTGAAGGTAATTAGCACAAAAATCCATTTAACTTACAAAAGGGTGGATTTGATATGTAAAATAACAAACTTACATTCAAAAGAATAAATTAAATTTGCAATGAACTGAATTTGATTTGCAGAAAAAAATTTAATTTTCATAAAAGTGAATTTGATTTGTAACAGAATGAATTAACATTGGAAAAGATTGATTTTAATTTAGAAAAAGATGAAATTGATTTGTAAATGACTGAATTTACATTGCGAAAGGGTGCATTTCTGCTAAAGTTTGAATGTAATTAGCACAATAATCAATTTAATTTACCAAAGGGTGAATTTGATTTGTAAAATAACAAATTTACATTCAAAAGAGTGAATTCAATTTGCAAAGAAGTGAATTTGATTTGCAGAAAAAAATTAATTTGCAAAAAGATGAATTTGATTTGTAACAGAATGAATTTACATGAGAAAAAAGTGATTTTAATTTAGAAGGAGGCGAAATTGATTTGTAAATGACTGAATTTACATTGCAAAAGGGTGAAATAATTTGAAAAAGTTGAATTTTATTTGCGAAGGATCTATTTGATTAGCAAAAGAATGAATTTACACAACAAAGGAATGCATTTCTGCAAAAGGATGAATGTAATTAGCACAATAATCAATTTAATTTACAAAAGGGTGAATTTGGTTTGTAAAACAACAAATTTACATTGAAAAGAGTGAATTCAATTGCAAAGAAGTGGATTGGATTTGCAGAAAAATAAATTTAATTTTCAAAAAGGTAAATTTGATTTGTAACAGAATGAATTTACACTGTAAAATGGTAAAATGGTGTATTTGATTTGCAAAACAGTTAATTTAATTTTTGCAGAAAGTTGAATTAGATTGTTTTATTTTATATTATTTGCAAACTGGTGAGTTTGATAACTTTAAAGAGAATATAATTTGGAAAAGGTGAATTCAATTAGTAAATTTATGAAATGGTGATTTTGATTTATAAAAAAATTAATTTAATTCATTTAAAAAAATTGTTAATGTTAATATCGACATATTCAACTTTCAAAATAAACAACAATCAATATAATATAAATTTGCGTTAAACACTTAATTATTATTTGATATAAACAGAAAAGTTTATCAATTTATTGACGCTTTATCTAATGGTAATCAACTTTGGAAGTTTTTTTTTCTACATAGGGGAAAGTTACCCCATTAAACAGGCATTAATCGCCGTGGAAAGTTTGCCGTGAAAAATTAAAAATGTAACCAGGTTAAACTTCAATCAAGTCTTCAATTTTATTACAGCTTCGCGGGCGTGAAATTTTCGAAGAGATGACATTAACTCTTGATGACTTATATTGATTTTGTCTGGAGATTCCGAGGAATTCAACCGGCAGTGATTCGATTTGAAAATATCAAAATCGTTTAACCAACGAAATAAAAACCTTATTTGTTTTTATTTACTTCAAGTAAAAGTTTTGGCATGTACAAATTCAAAAGAAATAAATCGAAAATATGATGATGTCAAATAAAAACACTTTGACACTAATGTTGGAAAAATTACCCACTAGTGATACGTTATATTGAAAGACACTAGCCTTAACAGAATATTTGTCAAAGAATGAAGTACCCTGGCTGACTTGACAAGAGTGGTCAATAGACTTCATCGTTTATTTATAGTTATTCGCACACTTCATTTGTGTAAAGCACAATTTTTCATTTTTCTTTTGTCGACTGTTTAACTTTTCAAAGGTTTACATTGACCGAAGGTTGTGGGTTCGATCCCGTTCGTGACACTAACTTTTCATCTCAAACAAGACCTTGCATAAAGAATAATTAATATGGTCAATTAGACCACTAAACATAAATAGGTTTACATTTAAGTTTCCTTACGCACTTTATCCTTCTAGATCCTTCACCAAGAGCCCCAGGACGTTGGCGTAGAGGATATCACCATTGTAATTAATTTCACTAGTTTTAGTGGTCTACTTGACCAATTAATATATTTCAATTAATTAAGGTTTTTAGTTGTGATAAAAAGTCAGTGTCACGTGCGGGATTCGAACCCACGATATTCGGCTTGATACGCCGCTGCTCTACTACTTGAGCTATCGTGACCTCGATCCACTCGGACACCAACTTCCCATCTCAAACCCACCTTTTGAATTTTCCCTCCTTTTTGCCATTTTTTAAATATCGTGTAATCTATTTGATTCTCGGCGACAAATGAAATGGCCAAGGAGAGCATTAGTGAAGGTAAACTTCATTTTTATTTATTAAATTCACTAATTTTAGTGGTCCGCTTGACCAATTAATATATTTCAATTAATTAAGGTTTTTAGTTGAGATAACTTTTTTAAAAAGATTGTAATTAAAATAGTTTATTTTCTAGATTATTTAGTAATAAAGAGAATATTTTTTAATTAATTAATCTTTAAGTAAGGTACTGGTTGAGATAAAAAAGTCAGTGTCACGAGCAAGATTCGAACCCACGACCTTCGGCTAGATACGCCGCTGCTGTTATATATATTTTTTTAACTTACATTTTTTTTCATTTTTGGCGTTTAATTTTTTGTAATGACTGAATTAAACTGTAATTATTATATAAAACTAGTTGATAATTTAGGTTTGATATGGCTAGATTGAGATATAAAATTCATAGCATCTCCAGTAACAGAAATATATGATGCAAATAACACTTTTACAGAGCTTTGTATCAATGGCATTTTTCCATCATTTTTATCGACCAAAAATTTAATAAACCTTGTTTATAGATCGAATTTGTACAATATCTCACAAAAATTTTTTTAGGATCTTTTATTTTTAAAACTAATCGCTATCAAATTCTCAAATTTCAGTAGTTTAAAGTGTTTATATTTAAAGAGTACAAAGAATATGTACTGAATGGATTAACTTTACAAGGTAAAAGGAACGTGTTTATAACTTTTATCAGGTTTGTAAATAATTAACGGCGCTACAGATACAGTAACGCACCACTCACATGTCGTGCGGGTTTAGCCTATTTATTGTTCAAAATAAAATTG